TAGAGAGCTACACTTTGCCTATTATTGCGCAATTTTTGGGAAAAAATGGTAATTTTTAGAAGCAAATTTGAAGAATCTGTGATTGAACCCTCTTCATGTAATATTCTTTGAAATAGAACGATCATTGTAGGGAGGCCACTACTTGAACTATCCACTTTTTACTTTGGAATAGCATCTTCCATACAAGCACAATAGATATGAGCCCTTTCTCTAACCTAAGGCAAACACTGAAAACGTTGCTTTCTGTCAACCTGATACTCCACTTCTGTACCCAAAGTCAGATCGAAATCAGAATTCTCAAGAAACAGCAAGCATAGCTTATCGAGCATTGAAAGGCTTTTTGGTCAAAATGGAAGATGCTTGAAAATAAGGGTTAGAAAAAAATCATGGAAAATTAGTACAACCTAATACGGGGCACGTCGAAAAGACGAGATAACCGCTTTTTAGTGTCGGAGTCGGATCCCCTTGATCAGTGTCGACCAATTCGATGCATGACTGAATTCTTTCCTGTTCTTCTTGATCTGTCACAATTTCTGGCAAGGGTCGCTCTTCTCTTCCGCAACCTCCTCTTCCAAATACGTTGTTTTCATGGGCTGGAGTAGGTTTTTAGAAGTCTAGAAAATTCCTTAAATGGTTTGACCTATATGATTTTGAACTTTAGGAAGAATGTGTTACCAGGTGCTTTTGAGTGTAAGCTTTTTCGGGCTTGGTCCGGGCTCGGAGAATTATTAGCAATCCTTCTCCAAACTGACAAAATTATCGAAAGTCGACCGGCTATTAAAAATGACTGGAACATCTATTGCCGGTATGATTTTTAAGACGAATACCTATGTCTCTCAGTCATGACTCAAATAGAAATCATCGGCCTTTATCTTGAATATGCAATCTCTAGGGCTATGGGTACTGCTCAACACAATCCGGCTCAGTTCGGAGTAACTGCCGATGCGCTTCGCTCTCTTATCACCGCCATAGCCACGGTTGAAGCGCAAGTCATGGCTGGAAATGGACTTCGGGTAGGTTTTTTTGTCAAAATACTTTTCAACCTTTTCAAGTCCTTACTGAAAACATATGCTTTTACGGAAATTAGTTATAGTTATCGTCGTAGTTAAATGC